AATATGATAAAGTGCTGCTTTAAAGCATTGTTGAGAATGTTCATGTAATAAGTCAATGAAGTTGATAATAAATTGCTGAAGTAAAAAAGCTTTACATATATTAAAAAGTTTAAGGGCGATTTGATATTTAATAAAGTTGAAGGTTTTTTGTTTATTAATTTTGATAAATTGATATTTGTAGATATCAAAAAAATTTTCAAACTATGATTTAAAATCTGTAAGATAGTTGTTAAGAGAAGAAATTTGGAATGTTTAAAGAAAGTGTTGTTTAGATATATTAAGAGAAATATTAATATTAAATTTGTCATTGTATTGTATTTTAAAGAAAGGTTGGTTAACACTATCATTACTAATGTTATAGTAAAGTCTAAACTAAATAGAATAGAGTTTAAAATTTCATTAAATTTTTTTGCATTAATAGTTTTGTATTTGTCATAAAGAATAAGATGTAAATAAGCTAGATTAAGTGCAATTTGTGTTCTGTTTGAGGTAGTATAGAGTAAAATTGAGTTATATAAAGCAAAAATTTTAGAATAATTAAGATAAGTAAAAAGAGTAATAGTAAATTCTTTAAGTAATGTAATGAAAGTTAAGTGAATCAATTCAAATGAAATAGAAAAAGATTTATCTATAAATAGATTGTTTTCATATATAAGATCTGTTAAAAACTTAGAGCAGAGTTCAGCTAAAATTTTAACTAAGTACATATAGTTAAACTTAAATGCTAGTTTGCCTTTAGTTACTTGTTTAGTGATTTTATTAGTATATACATTAATAAGATATAGTTTAATAAAGTCAAGAATTTGTGAAACTAGCTTGTTGTTAAAATAAATATGATGTTTTATTTTGTCAGTTATTGGATATTTTTTGAACCAATCAAGGTCATTGAAGATATCTCTAATAATTTGTTTTTGTTTTTGTTATTTTATAAATTATTAAGAGTTAGATTTTTTAGAAAAAATTAAATTAAAAAGTTAAATTTTGTCTTTTGCTAACATATTATTAAGTTTATAGAAAATAACAATTTTTTTGTGATCTGAATTTAATGGAGTTGGGTAAAAAGATTTAAGTTCAATATTTAAAATCTTGGATATACAAGATTGATGAATTAGAGAGTCTTTAAAGATATATACTACAGTGTAATCTGGTACATGATTATGTTAGTTATCTGTAAAAACATATTAAATATTTTTGACTTTACAAAGAAAACAGATATGATAATGTTAAGAATAAGCAATTATAGCTGTAAGAGCTGAATTTGTTTGAAAGTTTGAAAAAAAAGATGTGCTGAGAAGGAAAAAGAAGAAGAGATTGAAGATTGTGTTTAGTCTGTTAATTTAAAAATTAGAGAGACAAATAGTTCATCTAATCATTTGAAACTTTGTGCAGAGATAGTAGTTCTAATTTGAGTTTGAGTTGAATTTGAAGATTAACCAATTGTTGTTAGATAAGTAATTTTGTAGTGTTTAGAGATAAAGCTTATATAAAACTTGGCATAAAGACAGGTTACAATAGCAGGTTGAAGAGGAACTTTAAAGTAGTAATATTATTTTTTCTTATTATAGATATCAGGTTTAGTAAAGACTGATAGGACATGTAATGCTTAAGGTTTATTTTCTTAAAGTCCAACTCCATATCTGTCTTTAGATTTAGAATAATAGTAGTTAATATTATAAGAATCTGGTTTCTGAATGTCAGTTAAAGTAGGCATTTTTTGAAGCAATTTTTAAAATTGGAGTGTAACAAATAAGGGATATAACAAATAAAAGTGTGATGACTAAGGAGTGTACCAAATAAGAAGGTTGATGTTTAAAGTAACACCCAGTATAACACCAAATAATTGATGTAATTACTATATAATAAGAGTTGTGTAATTTAGTTAGGACTAAATTGATAAAATTTAAAAATAGATAAAACAAAATTAGATTTATATAAATAGATTAATAACATTAATTAATAATTTAGATCTGCAGGTCTGAGGTATTCTGAAGGACCAAAATTCCCCCAAAAAAGTAAAAAAATTTTTTTGTAAAAATAGATTATAGTTTCCAAAAGAGTTTTGAACTAATTTTACTGTATAATTGTCAATATTAAACTGTTTATAGTATATAATATATTAAAATAATGGCTGAAGTGAGCTAAACAAGTTTGTTCTATATAACAACTATAATTTACTTAATAAACTTTTAAGGTTTTGCAAAAAAAAGAAAATTACAAAGTTTAATTATATCTTAATAGTAAATACCTATAAGGATATAAAACTAGGCCACCTATATGTAAAATTTTGTAAGAAACAATTTTACTTAGACAGCCAAAATATGTTTATTTAATAAAAAATTAAGAAAAGTGTAATTATGTTTAGAGAAAATTTGGTACAAGTGATCATTAGGAAGAGTTAATGATTTGTATACATATTGCCTATGTATTTATTATTATATTGTTTTAAAATTTTTATTTATAATACTAAAATATTTTTAAAATATTAAAAAAAGTTAGAATATAATTAAAAATTTTTACAATCAGATTTTAAAAAAAAAATATCAAGCTTTAAAGAAAGCAAAACTGCAGAAGATTATAAAAAAGTATAATTTTAATTTTGTAATATTGGGGTTAGGCTCCATAGCTTAATTGTTAAGCTGCCAACTTCCTACAGACAAGGTCAATAGTTCAAGTTGGGCTGAAGGCAAAATTCAAGGATTTTAACTCTGTAATCTAATATAGGAGCCAAATTGAATGCGAAGCCCTGTGATAAGACTCAAGGTGAAGTATAAGAATAGATTAGGAATTCCCAGAAGGAGATTGACTTTGCAGAGAGAAGGCACTATGTGTGACAGCAGTGTTACAGAAGGTTCTACTACTAAAAAGTGTTATGCGAATAAGTCCTATCAAGACAAGGCAGCACCAACATCTCTGTATCTAACTTGCAGAGACTTGATTAGAAAGGTAATACTAATATAGTTAAACTGGAGTGATGAGTGAAGTGATGCATGCAAAGAAGATCTGTGACAAAGGATTGGTCTAACCAAAATTGGAATATCTTAGGCAGATACTATAAACTCTTAAGAAGCAAAACAATAGTCATACATTACAACATTATTGATAGTTATCATACTCGTACATAATAAGTCAAGGTTCTAGGCCCTCTTGCAATATCAAATTGAAAATACAATAGTACTACAACTATGGGAGTACACAAAAAAAAGTATATAGTAGCTGCAGATGATAATCCAGAATCTTGATAAATCCAGCTGTGCTGATTGGTACCAATACATAGAGGGCTATATACATTAAATTAGTAGCAAGAAGAGCAAGAAATCACTAGAGTCAACCAATTTAGAAGAAGAGATAGGTTACTGCAGAAAGTAGATAGGGGGACTATAGTTAGATAGAATTAGGGAATATAGTATTACAAGATAGCTACAACCTTATCTTAATTAGTAACAATAGTTGAAACACTATAGTACTAGTCTTAATTTAGAAAAGTGTAGATATAATATTACATTGAGTGTCTATATAGTAATATAGTAGCACAAATAGAATGTAATAACTCTAATGTATTAATCTGGTATTAATTAAATAAAGTATTATGATTGGCATTATAAAAAAAAAAAAATTTGTAATATTTATAATTATTTTAATTGATAATCTGTGAGTTACCAGAATAAAATGATCTACAAACACTAATTAAATATGACACAAATTATATAATGAAAATCCTATTTCAAAAATGTAAAAATTTTCTGTATTAATATGTACCAGGTACATATGTACATACATATCTCTATTTGCATGTTTAATTAATATATATACTTTTTAATTATATATAGTCAGATTTCTCTAAGTCATGCCTGTGGAACTATATTACAACATGTATTTAGATAATAAAGATCAAAAATAAATTTGGGCCAGAACATAAGTGTGCATTTAAAGAAGTGTACACTTATAGAGGTGCACTTAGAGAGATCTGAGTATATATATATATATATACTATTTTTAAATAAAAAAAATAATGTTATAAAATAATTTGACAAAAGTATGAAGCACAATGTGATTAGCATGATCATAATCAACTAACAGTCCTACAAAAAAAGGTTGTTACTTAAGATTATTATATTTTTAAAGCCCAAGCACTTTCAATTCCAAACTAAGTTTAATATTACAGTTTGTGTAAGCTTATATTAACTTGATTAGGTTTATATTTGTTGGGCAAACTTCTATTACATAAATAGTAAATGATGAAAGATGGATGAAACCTTTTAGTGAAAAGATGAAACTCTGTTGAAAGATGAAGATTCTGGTAAAAAGCAAAACTCTTGATGAAAGGCAAAACTCCCAGTAAAAAGAGAAACTCTTGGTAAAAGTAAATCTTTTAAGACTTTGGAAAAGGCTAAGTTAGTAAGTGTAAAGTATTTTGTATATTGTAGCAGTTAGACATAACATGTTAGAGTGTCCAAGTTACTAATTAATCTAGACTATATTGAGTTTAATATCAGCAAAATCGACAGCGAAGACTATTCTAAAAATTGATTCATCTCACCAAATGATTAGTTTAATGTACTCAAAAAAAATTACAGCTTAGAATTTTCTTTTAAAGTTTTAAACTGTAACTTTTTTTCAACATATTAAACTAATCATTTGGTGCATAATTGTTTAAGAAAAATAGTTGGTACATAAGTTGTATTAATTTTTAGAATAATGGTTTTCATTAATAAATTTACTGATTTTGCTGATTTATACACAAATCTGCACTATTGAACTTTACTACAATATCTGACATAGTTTTAATTAATTAGTACAGTTATCACTCATTTATATCAACCTATTTGGATTACTTTTATATTCATATTAATAGTGATATTAATAAGGGAACATATTAAAGTTAATATATATAAAGGAATTTTAATATAATTTTAATATTTAAAATTTATTTTATAGCTTAAGTTGATATTAACAGAGTTAATATTAATGAGAGGTGACTGTATATTAGGAACCTCAATAGCATGTAGTTTATTTGAATACAAAGCATTTGAAAGTAAATTATCAGATGTGCTTTGTAATAATACTAATCAGCTTGTGTATTAGAAAAAATCAATTTAGTATCAAAAAAGAAAAAGAAGTAACAAAAGCACTTTAGCTATTAACAGTAATGAGCTTTGTTCAGAAGATATAAAAGCATTTGCAAAGGCTCTTGATAAAAACAATATATTAACTTTTTTAGAACTTAACAATTGGATTGCTATTGAAGAAGAAAAAGCACTAGCAAGAGCAATAGCTTTTTGTATTGTAGTAATTAAATTATTTAACAATCGACAGTATGAGAATATAGGATTCAAAATAAAGCCTTCGATCGAGATATTTAGGGTATGTTTTTTACATTTGAATAATTATTTATTTTTTATTTCTTATTTGTATTGATAATTTCATTATTTGAGTTGATTTATCTAGCAAATATAATGATCATTATCTTTACCTCTTTATTATCTTTATTAAATTACATTTTTATTATTTTGTTTCTTTTCACCAGTTTTATTACTCTTCATCAGTTTACTGTTTTTTATAAGTTTTGTCATCATTTTTTTGATGAAAGTCAAAACTAGGTTTCATTCTTTTGTTCATAGTGAAGCCTTTAAGTTCATCTAATAAATATTTTGTTTTATTATTTTGGTCTTTTTTGAAATTAGAATCTTCATATATGTATAAAATTCATATTTTAATAAAGGATATCTTGCACAATCATTATAAAAAAAGGAATTATAGACCTTAATAGAGTTAAATAAATAGGTAATAAGTTTTAGAATTTAATGTTACTGAACAAACTGCAAATATCCAAACCTCAATATTAAAATCCAAAGTCTAACTTTAACTGTTTTGCTAGCAATATATTGAATTATTGTTATAATTTATTTTAGACTATTCTCAAGCACTCCTCTTAAATAGGCTTACTGAATGATTTGATTGATTGAGACAAATTAATCATTTTTGTCATTTTAAGTTAAAAGACTTGGGACGCAGATACTAGTCTATTAGAATTCGCATTTCACACAATAAATTTTCGGCAAAGTTATTATAAGGATTACTTTAATTAATTGGAATAATTAAGCAATAACTTGATTACTAAGCAATTACCACAAACCACATTTAGTACTTTATCTCAGATTGTGCATTATGTTTAACAAATATGACTTGAAGTACTTTCCTTGAACTGTACCTTCTTGCACAATATTCTCTAGCTAAAAGTTAACTGGTAATTTAAATATAATTCAAATATTGCACTGTAATACAAGAACAGAATTTTGTTATAAATAAAATCTAAATATTACATTTAAACTTTGACAAAAAATTTTCATTAGTTGATTCAACTAATATAGACATTATGGGCTCTTAAAAAAAAAAAAAAAAAAAACCAGATTAAATTAGAATATAGAAGCATATGCATATATATACTGCATTGGGTCATAATAAAATTTATTAATGAATTTTGTTAGATAGTGATCGATAAGTGACGATTTTATAATAGTTACTACAAAATTCAAATAAATATATAGCTCTTCGGTTCAATAGTTTTGGAGCAAATTTTGCAAAGGCCAGTGTTACATCTCTATAAACAAACTATAAAGCAATTCCTTTAGAAAACTAAATCGTCTTTTTGTCTTCTTTCTAAGAAAAAATGACAGTGTATATTAAAAATTTTTTCATATTTAAATAAAAAAATGGCTCTATAGAGAGCTGGCACTTATTAGCTTATTATAGCCCTTAGAGCCTGTCATTTGACACAATTGTTTGACAATCACAAGTTCTAAATAATCAATCATTCAACAATTACAAAGTTCTAAAGTAATCAATAATTTTAGAACTTATAATTGTCAAACAATTGTATTAAATAACATATGCTAAAAGGCTATAATCAGTCAATAAGTGTCAGTTTCTGTAACTTTATTTATAAAAACATAATAATAATCTTTGCAAAATTTTACCCAAAACTATCGAACCGTTAGAGCTGTATATCTATTTGAAATTTTGTAGTAATTATTATAAATTATTACCTATCAATCACTATTTAAAAAAAATTCATTAATAAATCTTAATATATAACCACATATAGTTTTGATTTACATAGTATACTACACATCCCAATACTGCATATTGTCTTATAGCATACTTACTATATGTGCTAAAAGGAAAAATGAAAGATTTCCAAGAATCTGATTTCTACTGCAACAAATTCATGTCTCTGATTATTAGTAGCAACATATAGGTAGAATATTTTGCATTCAATTAGCATACATGTGGCTACCAAACTCTAAAAACAATTTTATTAGTAATATTAATTAATTTTAAATCAATAATCAACAGAATTACCACAACGAATCATGAAAATAAATCTTGTAACTATTAATATGATTAAACGAATTGGTCAAAGTATATAAAGACTTATAGAACATCAACAAGACACTTAAATGAGTAGATGCTGATCACTACCTAAACTTAATTATAGGTCACACCAGAATATTGGCAGCAATCAATAAAAAAATCATAACACAATTATATCTAATTCACAAACAAATGCTATGCTTTTCAGTATGAAATCTAAGTATTAATCAAGTAAATTAACTAATTGTTGATTAAAATCAAACCAATAAACTAGTTAAACACTTACATGCACTCAATAATTATATGTGAATGTTATGAAATCCTATATAAATTGAGAAGGGATATAATTATTAATTAGGAAACTAACAAATAAAAAAACAATTTGTCATATTACTTGTAAGAATAGGAATTATAAAGTCATTAGTTAATTAATTGACTAATCGACTAAATTTTTTTTATAATCAGTCGATCGATTAGTCGAATAGTTGACTAATTAACTATTATTCATATAACATCTAACTCGCTAATTAGTTAATTATTCAACTAGTCAACTATATAGTTAATTAGTCAATTAATTAAGTTAAATAATTGATTAGTTAACTAGTCGATTGGTTAACTAGTTGAATAATCAATTAGCTGATTTTTAGTTAGTCAATAACTAACAGTTTAGCTAATCAGCCAAAATTTTTGACCAATTTTAATTTTTAACTTGTTAGAAAGATAATTCCAAATATACTACTGTATTATGTCCAAAAAAGTATATTAATACTTTTATTGATACAATTGTCTTTGTTAAAGCTTTCTTCATAATTATCTTTTAAAAGATTTATTACTGAAAAGCTTATCTAATAATCCCAATAGAAATATACATAGAGCATAGTAATCATTACAGACAATTATATAGCTGTATCACTTTTACCTCTTTAAACAAATTATCACAGCTTTGATTGGTTGAAAATTTGACCAAGTGATTAGTAAATATCCAACCTAATAATTTGTAAAATTTTATTAGTCTGTATGTTATTGTTATAGAACGAATTTTATTATTATATTTTAGTATAGTTTCATGAATGTATATTTTATTATTTATTAGCATTATTATTATTATTATTAGTATTAGTTATTATTATTATTTAGTTATAGTAGGTAGAACAAAATACAGCATTTGACACATGATGTTTAACGCTTGACGCCTGACACTTGATGTTTGACGTTTGATGCTTGATGTTTAACACTTGACGCTTGACACTTGATACTTGATGCTTGACGCTTGACACATGACATCTGATGCTTCGCTTTAATAATTATTAAGCCTTGATGCTTAGCTTTAACAGTTGTTAATGGATATATAAACCCCAAGAATTTCTCCCAAGTCAAGCAAGTCACAGACACCCCTTTCTCTCTACTTTTTAGTTTAGTAACTCGTGTAAAGTGTAAAAGGATTCCTTAGAAACAGAAACCTAATGGATAGCCTTATTTTTTTAATAAAGTTATTATTTTTATCTATAAACTATATTGATATTCCCCCTCTAGGGTAATTCCTACAGGCAAGGTCTATCACTTCCAAGTTGATAAAGTTATAAACTGTTGTATTATCCTAATTGAACTGTCCAAAGAAGAGTATAGTTGTTAAATAGTTAAAGCTACTATACTTCCCTTTTGGACACCACTATAAACCTGTAAAGGATCTCTATAGCCGTGTTATTGTTATAGTAAGGAGTTAAAGAAGGCCTCCCTACTGTAACAATATTATCAAAAAATTATTAATAAAAGTCAAAAAACTAAAGAAGTCATCTTAACAAAAAAATAAAATAAAATAAAACATTCTATTAACTAGATTAGTTATAAAAATAAGTACAAAAGATTCTAAAAAATTTACCTTAAGAATAAAATAATCCTAAGGTTAAAATGATGTTCTGAACATAACTTAGTAATGTTAACACAGATGCAGATTCAGAGGGTTTAAAATGGAACATCTAAGTAGAAGTGTTAGATATAACAATTGATAAGAAACCTTTAGATAGACTCCTTAAATAGGTAATATAAAAAAATTATATATATAACCAATTGTATACTTTTTTTGTAGTAGTTTATAAAATTATATTACTAAAAAAGTTATTAATAAAAATCAAAAGACCAAAGAGATTATCTTAACAAAAAAAAACATTTTATTATTTTACTAATATATTACTATTATATTTATTACTTTTTAATATTTTATTGTTATGTTATTATTATGTTACTGTTATACTATTATTATTTGATGAATAAATAATAAAATAAAAGATACATAATATGAAATTAATATTTCATTATTTATTTATTATTTATCTATTATTTATTTGCTTAACTTGTGTTAGTTTTATTTGTTTTTTATACTTTACACTTGGAAATTTCTTAAAAATCTTTTTCTTATTTGTATTAATTTTTTGTTTAATATTTATTTTTTTTAATTTTACAAATTCAAGTTAAACTTGAATAATTATTTTACTTTTAATACATGTTAAATAATTCAGAAAAAAAGATGATTATTTGTTTAATTGATAATGATTTAATAATTTTGTATCATTTAGTAAACTTATTAGACCTTTTTTTATTTCCAACTCCACTAAACTTCATCTTTATAACAAAAAACCTTTTGTGAAATTTATTAGGTACCAGTTTATTGAAAATAATAAGGTAAAAGGTTATTCTCACAGATCAAGATAAAATTCATTTACACAAATCAAATTCTATATTTATTTTCTAGTATGTGCAATTACAGCACTAATCACTATGTATAAATTATATACCCGATACTATAAATTACCATAAATTACTATTAATACGTATAAATTATATACACTGTATGTACTATAAATTACTATTGATACGTATAAATTATATACTATAAATTACTATCGCTATAAACCAGTGATAATTTTTCACTGCGCAGACTGTGCGAACAGAAAAATTAACATTTTGTAAATAGTGCGCACAGTTGCAAACAGTTGCTTGTAGGTTTTCTTTATTTGCCGCACAGATAAATTTCCAAATTGTGCAGCATCTGCTATAAACTATATACTATATACTATAAATTAAACACGATAAATACCTTATACGTACTAGCCTAGCACAACCAGCCCAGCATCAGAATTATTTGGTTACACTACATGGATCGACATAGAGAGAAGTTTGACAATTTTTAAAACCAGCATTTACCTTTGTGTACAGAATTGTAATAAATTTTACTACTATGTACAGATTTGTGACAAATATTAACACTACGTACAGATTTAACATTATAAAAAGTTTGTTACTAATTCATATTAGGCAGGTAAAAATTTTCTAAACAGGGATCTTTTTTTTTAATCGCTGATATATTATTGATTAAATAACTATAAAAATTCAATATTAGTGAAGATAATAAAAAAAAGGGTTCTGTTTAGAAAATTTTCATAGTGTTTTAAAAAGTTTTTTTTTTATTTAGAGGTTTTGTGTACAGAAATCATTTATTAATAACATCAAAACTGATGTATAGCGTACAATTCCATAAATTTGACCTGTACAGAAATGGCCCTTCTTCGCGGAGGTGTCATTAATAGAAGGATGTCAAATCAGGGGCCCTAGTGCCTATTGTATTAAATAAATCAACCAATCAGCAATAATCGCATTTTATGTGATCGGAGTCAAATCCGCACATATGATTGGGCCTGACCAAAAAGCCTATGCAGGCTCGAACTGGGGCCAAGCCCAGCCTGCCCCGGGTTTAGCCCGGCCCATACAGCTGACACCCAACGCGTTATATGACATATTTATTATTATTTTTTTTTTACAAACTTATTTTTCTCTTAGCATGATTACTAAGATGCTTGATATTCTTGAAAACGACGATGGGTTTGATTACTTTGCTCAAACTTTGGTACATGATTGGGGTCCACTAGGCTATCTTATTTTCTGGATAAATAACGTTTCAGACGCACCAAATAAAGCAACAATAACACGAGTTTTTAATGATCAAGTCGAATGGTTAATAACAAATGGGACCAGAAAAGAACAGGAGAAGGCGCAATATCTAAAGAAACAGTTTAGGGTAAGAATGTAATGGCTGTAGGGACTCCGTGGGACTTCGTCTCCTGCACGGTACTCTTGCTGCAGACCATTCACACTTGTGACTGTAGGGACTCCGTGGGACTTCGTCTCCTGCACGGCCTCCTGCTACAGACTATTCACACTTGTGACTATAGGGACTTTGTCTCCTGCACGGTACATCTGCTACGGACCATTCACACTTGTGACTGTAGGGACTCCGTGGGACTTCGTCTCCTGCACGGCCTCCTGCTACAGACCACTCACACTTGTGACTGCGGGGACTCCGTGGGACTTCGTCTCCTGCACGGTACCCTTGCTACTGATGGTTCATATTGTATGACTCATGTGACTTCGTCCATTCATTAGATGACGAAAAATTGTATGAAATTTTATGAAATTATTTACCATGCAGATGTTTAATTTCTTACTATTTTTTTTTTTTAGATTGATTCACAGAAAGGTGGTCGAATGTATAATTTCTGGGGAGATGAAATGCTCGCTAAAAGACTTATTGATATTGAAAAAAACGCTCCTACTAGAATTCATGGTTTTCCGGTAAATATTACACAATGGTGTATAACTATTTATTAGTTTCTTAGTTCAATTTTAATATACTGTAGGCGCAACATACTTCTTTCGCAAACCGTATACTTACAGAAAGAAATAACACATTAGGATCAAATCTCTTTAATGTAAGTTACTAAGATAACAATAGTTTAATTTTTGATATTTGATTTTTTTAAGCAAAGGAATTGAAATGTGAAAATCTAAATAACCTTTTCATTGCCTTTTAAATCTCAAATAGCTAAGCAATAACAATGTCATTAATCCTTCAGATAAGGTCAAGAGATCCCAAGGGAATGAAAAATCGTCCTGTAAAGATAATGTGAAAGAAAAAGAGAAGATAATGAGATGGATTATGAAGGATTGTCATTATTATTTGATGAGTTGAACGAAGATGCCCTTGTGGAGAGCATTGACGAAAACATACTTGATCAAGAAAACATATTGCCAAAAGCAAGTGGTGACAATAATTTAAAGGTAAACCTTAATGTTTACAAGTGAAATAGTGATGGTGCAAAGAATTGGTCGTTTCAATGATTAATTAAACATGATATCTTAATTCCGTCTAAAAATTAATGGTTGCATTAATAAAAACTAAGAAGAATGTATCTAATTTTTGTGCCAAGATTCTTTTATTTAATAACAAAAGGCTAATTTCTCTTGTGCCGCCTTTATTTTTTACTTCGCATTTTACATGTCACACGTTGATCTTATAATCGGATTGGATAAAAATCACGGGACCATAAAAGTTTTGCACCATCACTATTTCATTTAATGTTAACAGCTAGAATATGTATTCAATAGGCACATTATATTATTCTAAATAGGATCGGCGAAAAAATTTGGACTCGCGTATTGTTGAAGCATTTTATGAATATCAAAAGACAATTCCAAAAACTCGTAGGGTTCTTACGTACGTTCGATGTTACTTATCATTATAATAGTAATAATCCAATTACTAATATTCTATTATTAACATTTCATTTAATAGCCCCGCATATTGGGGAATTTTGGACTTAACTGGAGAAAGCTTATTTGATTGTAAACAAATTACGGAAGAAGACAATGCAATTATCACAAGATTTTGCCAATAAAATTTCCTGGAAAACAATGCCTTCAAACAATAATTTAAGGGAATATTTTGATAATAATTGTGAGAAAACGATTGACGATAATCCTGACATTAATAAACTTGATGTAAACATTCAGTTTATGTATGTATTAAGTTTTTTTTATTGTATTGCGTTTATTTATTTAGTTATAACGTTCTAAATCTAATCGTTATACAGAAAAAGTGATGTACGTAGTTTCCAAGGAATGATGACAGAGGAAGAGCTAAAAATGAGTACAATGTTTTCACTATTTCGTGGGATATTTACTTCCGATAGGATTAAAATTGCTTGGTGAGTTATTATATATATATATTGACACCTAATTAATCAAGACCATTCTGTATATTAGGGGAGAAATTCAAGCCTTGCCTACGAAATATGCACGTAATGAAAAAGAGAATCCATTTAAAAGAGCACGGGTAGGAAGACGCGTTGATATGAAAAGTACTCTCATCAAAACTTCTAATAAATTTGAAGTTATTTATGGAGAAGTATCGGGAGGATTGGGCCCACATGGAATACCTACCGCATGCCGTAAGAAGCGTTTTCTTGACAAGATAAAACTCATGATTATAATGCGAGATAGCATAAATAGTCTTCTAAAGGAATGCAAATATACATCGTTTGAGAAACGTACAAATTTAATCATATATGGATGGCTCCAATTTGGTAAGTTTTGTCCATATATTTACGTGTTATTTAGTTTAATTGCTAAGAAATTTCATCTTTATGCATAGGCCTAGAAATAAACTTCTATGCTATGGATTGGTCAGGAGCCGGTATATACAGATTTGGGTTAATTGACCAATGTAGGTTACCGTCTGACGAGGACGAATTTGGGATTCTTGAGGATGCGTTCTGTATCTTTAAATTGCTTGAAGTAGGTAGTACTAATCGCTAGTGATATTACAATAAATCAATATATATCTAACTTGATCGAATGTCAGTACAAGTCACTTGATATTGAGAAAGTAGTTAAACAATTGTTTTTAGAAAACACAAAGGGTAAACGACGACAAATTACATCCGAAATTGAAGCTGAGTTGAATGAAAACCGTTCTCCCGAAAGATAAAACTAAATTTAATGAAATGTAATGTATATGATTCTCGGATCTTGTTTCCATAAATATCCAGATTGTGTTTATACTTGTTAATAAAGTTATAACATTGCTCATATAAAAAAAAATGTTTTATGTGCAACAGTGATCAGATGTATAGCAAAGGCCCGGAATCATGTGTCCGGACAATTCCCATTCATTGAGAAATGATTTGAGACACAACATCGGTACAAAAGGTTTATTATGTGAAACTATTTGAAAGTTGGTTCAAAAAATAATTGAGACATTGTACAGCAAAAAATTATTCCCTTAGTTTGTTTCCTAATTGGAAGGTGAATGAATGAATGAATGTGTATCACCTATATTTGTATAATGTCATGTGCCTGAAACATTTGGTCATTTAATGAAAATGAGAAGATTAATTGAGATTAAGAATGATTAAGAATAATATTTAATAAAAGTTTCACAAATTTCCATGTTTATTTCTCCATATAGGTGCGTTATTCCTTGATTCGTATTTAGTTTCTTATTTTCCGTGTTTATATAATTCCAACTTTCTTGTTTATCTTCCCATAAAACAAAAAATATGAAGAAAAATCTTCAATTTCCCAAATCTATTTTTATAAATATCATCTCGAATTCTAACATTGAAAATTTATATAATTGTCTCTTGGTGAATAAAAACTTATGTGAGATTGTAATACCAATACTTTGGGAGACACCCTTTGAATATCTATATGATAAACTTTTACCAGATTGGAGAAAAGTATCAGCTCTTATTCAAGTTTACGTCTCTTGTTTATCTAATGAAACAAAGTCCATCTTAGAAAGATCAGGAATAAATAAAAAATTATCAATAATTCCACCTCCAACCTTTAACTACGTTTCATTTTTGAAAAGTCTTGATTACAGATTAATCTTTGATAGCGTTGTAGTTTGGTTAAACAATTCTGATAAAACTGCACAACGTTCAACTAATCAACATTATTTAATTGTAAAAGAATTATTTAAATTGTTTTTTAATAATATTAAATACCTTGAATCATTTGTATGTAAATTTCGACCAAATTTGATAAATCACAAGTTATTCCCTAATTATATAACTTTATTAAATCTTCCTGGTGCTCAAAAACATTTTTCATATTTAAACCGTTTTGTAATAAGAGATATTATTCCAACTGAATGGTGTAATGAAATTATTCAAAAAGCTCAAAAAATTCAAGAAATTGAGGTTGATTTATCCGAATGTTACGAAGATGATGAAATGATTGCGGAATTAATCATTAAACAACCTAATTTATCCAAGATAACCATTTCATCCAGACAAAAACTTCCTTGTATTTCTGATGCTTTAAAACATAAAGTAAAGTCCTTAAATATTATTAATATCTTTCCCAATATTTCGGTAAATCTTAAAGGATTATCAGAATGTTCGAATCTTATTGAATTAAATTTATCATCAGAAGAATTTATTTCAAAAGCTACATTTGAATTTTTCGTTTGTTCAAAATTTTCTCAACTTAAGAAATTATACCTTAATTTTAATAATTTATATTTGGATCAAATATCAACATTAATTAGAAATACTCATTCATTACAAGATATTTATTTAAAATTCGATTTGATTCAAGGTTCAAAACATTCAGCAGATTTTATCAATGCTATTGTTGATAATTGTCCAAATCTTATTAACCTTCAAGCAATAATTCCGGATGATGAAATTTCACGCCTTCCAAATCTTTTTGCATCTTGTAAAAAACTTGAAAATGTAATATGTCTTGATGGGAATTATAAAGATATGGATTTGATTGATATTAGTGAAACTTTATTAGAAATGGGAAAAGTTGTACAACCGAATTTACGTAAATTTATTACAAGATCTTGTTGGACATTTTCATCTGAAGCATTGAATTCATTTCTTGAAAATTATGAAAAGAAACGATATAACAAATATAAACAATTGGAATTGAAAATAAAAACTAATGATTACGATGATCGAATTCCAATTATTGAAAAGTTTGGAAGGAAAGGTGTCCTAAGTATTAATAATTGGAAAAATAAATTTAAAGAATATTATAATAATAAATTTATTGATTCGAGCATGTTCGTTCAATACGTTTATTTTATTTGTTTAAAAAAAAAATGGGTTTCCTAAAAGATTTAATTCTACGTATTGATGTATTTTTTTTTTTTTTGCAGTGGACTTGAAGATTCGTGGTCATGGCAACACGACTGGATTATCTTGTCATGTGAAGAAGAGGAAGTAAGTTGTTTCTTCCTATGAATAGTAATCTAAAAAACGCATTTCATTTAAACAATAGCATTCCTAATTTATTTTATTTCAATACAGTTCATCTATGTCAATGAGTTGCAATCAACGTAATTTATTTGGTATAGTTCTCATGTTTAATTATTTCCAGGAAAACACGTACTACACGTACGTACAGTACATGTTAATCGCGTTACGATCACAAAGAAGTTTGTTTAATTGTTAATAAAATGATAATTTATATAACAGTAACTTTGCTTTTGTCTATATATTAGGCCATACAAATTTAATTAATTGATTTTCATAACTGGCCGGGTCAAAATTCGAAAACATGTAAAAAAAATTTTTTATATGTTTTAATAACCGGGTGGGGTTTAAAACCAAAATTTTATAAAAAATTTTATAAAATTTTTGTATATGGAATTTTTTAAAAAAAGCCGGCCGGGTCTGTTTGAAAATTTCATGTTATAAAAACCAAGTAAATTTGTGTGGCCTTATGTATTAAAGATATTATTAATGTTAAGTGTTTATCGATAATAAAATCTAAACTGTCAAACGTTGGTACACGTATCTGCTGAATTGGATTACGTCGCTAATCTATCCCCTGGCTTGTCTGGGCTACCTGTGTCAATGTATGGTTCAATTGAACAATAGAGTATTGGCTGCTTCGCATCCAATAACTATATATTATTAGTCGACACCAAAATTCCAGGTCGGTATTGAGTAATACGTCTACAGTAAAATTTTTAGCCAATCACTATTCCAATGACAATTTTGGAGACCTTCCCATAAGAATTGTCAACCAAGTAGATTGCTACATAATTTATTGTTCTTAAATGTGATATTAGTTATCGACTGAAGACTGAATCGATTACAAACACTAAGGGTAGAATCATCCCGGATCAGTGCGACAAAACAAAGCAAAGCGAAGAAAAGAGAAAAATACAAAAATATAAGAAACAGCAGTCAAAACCTAATTTGAAGCATTAATAAAAACCCTAATATTAGCCAAATAAACGTTGAATCAAAAGTTGGTGTTGATCTTTAAATTTTAGTGTGTACATAGGCACATACCTTATGATAATATGCTGTATATCAATTACATAACTTATATATATGAGCCTTTTATACATGACTAATTCTCGGGAATTTTTGCTGTCTCGTTGACCTGTTCTGTTGCTTCTTTGTTGACCTCAATCCACTCTATAACTCGGTCCACATTCTAGAACCTAAATCCATTATGGAATCTCGAACTATTCTGGAATCATTGACCATTCCGATACCTGGATCTGTTTTTCCCTCGTGACTTTCTTTATGACTCTGTCGACAGTCATATCTGAATATTTAAACTTTTTTTTTTTAGATTTAGATCACATTTAAAAAGAATAGGTTTGAATATAAAATCAAGAATTTACCTCATTCATATACAGGATGACCACCGGTACTTTCATCGTGAAGACGATTCCAAGCTTATAAGTGATGTTGTGGAAGAATTCATCCAAAAAAAACCATACCAGAAGTTTTAGATTGGCAGCCGTACAGTCCGGATATTAATCCGATTGAAAATCCTTGGTGTATTGTGCAGAGAAACGAGGTAAACGGGGACCTAAAAATTATGAAACATTGGGTCGTTTCCCCGATTAAATCTTAATTTAGTTCGGTCAATACAACATCGTTGTGAACTTATAATCAAATTAAATGGGGAATGATCCCCTATTAATTTCTATATAACGATAAATTGTTGAGCTATTTATAAATGATTGTCTTGTGATTTAATGCGTCCATCATCAATCAATCAATCAATCAGAAAAAATAAAAGCCTACTTCTTTTTCTTACTACTCTGTAACTACACTCATTCGTACTTTCATCGGTAAAATCGGTAGAATCAACTTTTCAACATTAGGTTCGAGCTCACTGTTAATAAAGATATCATCATTAGTATTAGCTACTAAAACATAAGTAATAGAAAGCACAACTCCGAAGAGTAAAAGGATGGGAGAATTTTTTTTAAAAAAGCATGACGATAAAGGAAGGAAGAAAAAAACATTATTCACAAAATTAGATCAAATCTACTTAATTATGAGTAATACGAAAAAGTAAAAGATGGGAATTTCCTTTAAAGTAGTTTATGTAAAGAACCTTGTTCGAAAGAAATAGTCCATGAGATTGAACTACAAATTCTAACATTAATTCACTCCTTTCGAGCTAACTTCTGATTAATATAATAGCTCATCAATAGTAAGGCTCATCAATAGTAAGGCTCGTCAATAGTAAGTCGTTGATATTATCCAAAAAAAAAAGAAATAAAGAGAATATCAGTTTCTTTAGAAGAAGAAAATACGCCACAGAATTATTACTTGATGTTGTAAAGATTTGGACGGAATTGCAATTTCCTATAAAATTAAAAAAGTACAAAATCGTTAATATGCACAGAACATATGCACAGAGAACTTGATTACCTTTAGTGATGAATATTGATGAATATTGATGAATAGTGATGAATAACAAACATAATTTTACACAAGAGTAGATGAATTGATGGATTACGTTTTAGTAAAAAAATAAATTGAACAAAAAAATGGTTGAATATTGAATAACTTTATTACTACAAATCGATTACATTTTTATTTTTTTTTTTAACTTTCACAATTAACTTACAATGGAAAAATTAAGACTAACAGATAACATAAGTTACCACTACCAAAAACAGGTTTGTTGAACCTTCTCAGGACATTCAGACGGAGGTAGTTCATCATCAATAACCGCCCACCCAATCACAGGACTAACCACAACTTCTTCATCTTTAAGAACTTCTTGATGCACACCCAAAAATCCAGAGATAAGTTTCTTTTTCTGACCACTTTCGACTTTAAATGGAATAATATTCCTTCCACTAGGTAGTCTATATTCGTCTAACCAATTATTAACGATTTCACCAGAACTATCATAAGGGAAGAAAGATGTCACCCAACCAGTTAACTCTGGCGGACCACCACAACCATATTCTTCTCTTGCAATTCCTTTCCAAAATTCTTGATCAACTTTACCATTATAAGTTTCAATTAATTTGGATACAATCTTTTCAATACGATCAAACCAAAATTCCAAATCAGGAAATATGGGACGAAGGGAATCCATTTTTTTTTGGATTAGTAGCCAGTCATCGGAAGTACCTTCCAAAGTAACTTTAGGTATTCCGCAGTAAATTCCAAGGTTGTAAGAACAACAATCTTGAGAGTAATCCAATAACGCAATTCTACTAGCAATTTGAGAACTTTGAATAGTAGTAGAAAACTCACATTCCAACAAGGATGGCAATGTAGTCTTTTTCATTTGCTTATCAGCAGCTTTCATTAATTGATTGATACAATTAGACCAATCACCAACTAGACATTTCGTGTCAGGGTCAACACTTAAAACAGCTTCTGTTGAGATATCAATTGCTTTCCGCTTTACGAAATTATTATATTTCTTAAGCTTTATGTGGTGACAAACACCTTGGACGATAGTTAACCATATATCATCCGGTTGTAACGATAAATGTTGGTGACCATTATAAGCTTGAAGTATTGCAGCGACTAGACCATGACTACATTGCATTCGTTCTAATACTGAGTTTTTTGTTAGATTATAACGTTCATAATCTTTAGAGACCACATGAACCTTTGCATCATAGAGGTTTGATATATGAGATTCAATCGATATATGTGGTCGTACCAAGTTACGCGTTTCTAAGTCTTTATCAAGTATTTGAGTTGAACCTAAAGGATTACCTCTAGGTTTCATTTACGTTGTATGAAAGAGTTTAAAATAATTTCTTTTTTAGAAAGATGTTTTTTTTTTTATAATCAATTATTATTTGTTAAAAGCTGTGGGAAAAAATGATTCCCATGAAAAACTAAAGTAGAAGGAGCATCATTACGGGGCTACGTATATTTATAAGAAAAAAGAAGAATACATACAGATTAATTATAAGAACTTTTACCCAATTTATATTCTAAATTATTAATTCGGGTAATTCGGGTAATCAGCGGACTTGTCCAACCTTGTACAAAAATCGCCACACAACATAATCTATAAAAAATAAAACTGATGAACATTACTCACATTACTCACACGATGACACGCGACAACCGGTGATGCCGAGATCCAATAAGATCCAATAAGGGAAGTATACTCACATGTATGCATGTATACATTTTATCATAATTGCCTCAAAAGACTAACGTTCCAAATATAATTGGTCAAATATGGTCAAATATGGTTTCGATTGTCCAATACAGTACATATATTTGATACATAAGATATTATTTAGTTGTTATTAGCGTTAGTGTTACATACATAGGGAGTCTTACATTTCTGATCTTATCAGAATAGAAAACTTTGTGTTATTATAGATAAGATTAGTGATCAATAACTGCTTGTGATCATAGCCTTTTTTATTTTAAATGGTAACCACCGAGTAAAAAAAAACCGTTACATTACCTTAACAAATGCTTAAAACTTAATTGATAAAAAAAGTTATGAAATAAAAATAAAAAAACTTTGTTATGATATTTTTAATACATTTAATAAATATTTTTTTTTTCTTGTTATAAAGCAATAGTTACACAAGTTTTCATCGCTTCCTTAATTATCATTCATTAATCGTTCATTAATCGTAATGATTTGTTTTTCGCCGGTTTTCGTATAAAGTATACATAGTTTTTTTTTAAAGCGGATCTAATTTTTTCTTTTTTTTGGTATTCTCTATCTACGTTTGAAAAAAAAACATCATGTGGTATTACCTATAAATATTTGGCTCAAATAGTGACCAGTGTAGTGTTGCACGCGGAACGGTTGCAACTTACTCCTACTCGCTTATTCGGGAACCGTGAATTGAATTCCTAACCCGGAACCCGGAGTACGTTATGGTTGACCTGGTTAATATAACTTTATATGATTTTCCCAATAATACATCTACATAACTAATTAGCGGCTTTCAGGGAAATGATTATTGGGAAACCCACAAGTACATATCATCGATCTATATCCATCTATAATATAATTTGATTTTATTGACTTTAAATTACAAACTATGAAATTGTCAGATAAATTACTTTTAATAGATTAGAAAATGTTCAAAGAATTGGTGAGGTTCAATGTTTCCAGAAATGTAAAAAAAAATAACTTGGTGGAGAACATAGTAAATACACATACGCAATATTTAATTTACACACAATCACTTACACATTATCTAATGTAATATAGTTATTGTTGTGAAGAAACCAATAACAAGTGTTATTCCTAAGAATACATCATTATCTTAACATTTCAGCTTCTGGACCCGAACGGTATTATCCGATAATTTTACACCAATAGAATTACTACGTATATATAACTTATTTTGATGATCATCAAATGACTTCGTCATTTGATAATGACGTGTCATTGTCAACATTATCATTATAAATTCTATTTATTTAACCGTTAATGCAGTAATGAATAATACAGTACATACGTAATAGTCTCGAAATGTCTGGATTAATTCAAAACATATCCAATAATCAATATTTTTGATTATATTTCAATATGCAAATAGCGAAGGTCTTTCATAATTTCCTTGGATTAAAACAACTGTTGGTATATCTGAAATTTAATAAAGTACACGAATAAAATTCTCGGTAAAAAAAAATCCTAAAAGTTCATTTAAGTAGATAATCTTTAGCGATAAATTACTTTGAACATTCGATTTAATTCATATCACTATTTTAAGGTACATATTAGAAAAATGACGTCATTTTGTGGGCTGGAGCTCTATACTTCAAAATTAAATTTGAAATAGAATTTTAAATCTTAGTGCTATTACTCATAAAAGGTAGTATTTAAAGTTTTATAAAATGGCTAATATTTATACCCAGTTTTATGAAAGAAAAAATTTTCTTATGAGTAGGACAATAATTATGTCTAAGATTTGTGAAAAGGTTACTATCATCATCAGTAAGTTGACAGGCAGGTGATGTTTCATTTTCTAAAATATTTGCTTGTTCATCTTCATCTTGATTTATACTCTCCTTCACCTTATTATTAGTTGACTGACATTTCGATAAGCTAACTGCTGTTCTTCATTTATTGAATTTTTTTCGTTTCTTTCTCGATTCATTTCTTATAGCTATTTGCACGGGTGTATAAGTTCTTTTTTTAACCCAAATAAAAAAAAGAACGTAACTAAAGCCTTCTTTTATTTATTCAAAATACTTGCTTATGATATTTATGATAATAAAAATAATATATAGTTATTGGATGCGAGGCAGCCAATAGCGGAAATTATTTGTATTATCTGGCTGAGTAGCATTCAATAACGGTATTATCTGGTATCTTATACGACCGAACCATCAGAATAACGCGCATCATCGAATAACGATTATGATGCAATCATCATCGAAATAACTCGAGTTACTTTGTTGATCATGATTAACTAATAATTTATAGTATACTAAGATGAAGTTAAATCAATATAGGCTAACTTTCTTTAATTGATCAAGTCAAAGTTTGAATTTGAATCAAATATTTGATTAAATCCAAATTTTGACTTGATTTTGCGGAGTACTACCTCTAACTTAAACTTTTTTTTTAAAAAAAATAAAAGTAACCGCGTTTCTTTAAGAACAAAGTTTTAAGTATTTTGTGTATTTTTGGGATTCACTCAACTTTAACTTAGAGACGGTTTTAGGATAAAGAAAAAGTAAATATAAGTGTTAAAGATCCTAATTAACGAAAAGCATAGCCAACTAGTTTAAGAAAAAGTAATAATGATTCATCGATTGAGATAATTTCCTGCTCTAAACATTTTAATTTATTTAAAATATTAAACAGAGTCATTGTGTATTATATCTAATACTGTATATAATTTAGTATATTTAAGTATTTATGAAAATTTTGATTTATGTGATCAAGTAAGTCGAATTGATTACGTAGTTCATGATCGACATAAATTCACCAATCATATAAATTAGGATGTATCGATACCAAGTTCAATATTTACTTTTTATCCTTACGACAAGAACGCATAACTTTTAATATTTTATCTAAAACAAACAACTTAAACCTTCCCAAAACAATCAACATTCTGAACCATGCTTACCTGCATTTATTACTGCCACGGTTTCAAAGCTGCCGACAGTATACCCTCAACACTAGAGCATCCAAATTACGCGATATCAACGATTATTCTATTATTCATACATTTGAAACTGAACGCATCGTCATAATGCGTACAATAGAAAATGCAGGAAAGTAGAAGCAAAATTAGTAAATCCTAGGTATAGATGGCTTTAGAGATGTTAATCGACGATTCAACATTCTTATTATAATCAGATTAGTGAAAAAAGTCAAACAAGACGATTAACATCCTTAGTTTACTGAAACCAAAAAAATACTGGAGCATCCAAATTACGCGATATCAACGATTATTCTATTATTAATGCATTTGAATCTGAAGGAAAACAAAAAAGTATACCCTATCAACATTCCCCCAAAAAGTAACGATGCTCGAAAAATTCTGCTCACGTGACTTCCTGCGACTTGTTTGGCGACCCTGTATTACGTCATTAAGATTTTACCTACTAAGAAACTGACGACTGACGTATCGTATAGTCTTTCACCTACAAAACCTTTACCAATCAATATTCAGCTACACCTCATGGATATTAAAAACAAAAAAAAATGTTTTTGTATATATGTACGTAAAACTTTTTTTTCACAATATTTGTCTGAGAAATTTTTTCATTTTAAGCATAAATTTATTTCTTATTATCCTACATAAAATGATTTACCGGGTGGTATTTACTTAATATTTGTTAGAGTTCATAAGGTGCACCAGGTGGTGAATTAACCTAATTTTTTTATTTGAATTTCGCAAAAAGTAATCGTACACACTTTGTATTATCTCGACATTTTTATGTATTTCAACGTCAAATATAATAAATAAATAAATAAATAAAAAAGTTGCATTAAAACTAAATCGTACACCAATGCTATACAAAAGGGATTTGAATAGTTTATAAAAAGTAATGATTCAATGATTCAAGAGTTCTAACTTAGTTATTAACTCATAAAAAGCGGGTTAACGGAACAACATGTCTAATTAACCCCAGAGATTATAAAAATATTATATCTATTCTAAGCATTGACATAACTCAAATTTTCAATATTAATCAAGGAGTTGCCTTTATCTATACACAATACTAAACACATGTGAATTTTATCTAATCATTTTATGCCAGAACTTTTCAGTTTCATCCCTATCTATTCTTATCTCTTATCTATTCTTATCTTTTATCTATTCTTATTTCTTATCTATTCTTATTTATAAGGAAATCCAATTTTCCCAGAGACATATGAAATCATATATAATTGACGAGCACTAACCTGGGGAAATTGGATTTCCTTATTCTGATATTAATTGCTAAAAATATTCACATTAGCCTAAATCACATAAAATCATAATAATTCAATTTCTTGGGTATAGTTATTTAACAACACTGTATAACTGACGCTGATAAACTTCCAACAAAAGGCCTATATAACACACTTGCGAATGAATTCCTTCTTAATTATAATTCTATTTGTAATAATTAAACCAGAATGTTTTCATAATTTCACTTTTTGAAAATAAATAAATAAATACATTATTTCCGTCATATTTGTTATTGACTAATCTATTGGTTATTGAAATTAGATGTAAAGATTATAAATCATACAACAAATGGAATGAAAACAAACTCTCATTTAATTTTTGTATTTGTCAACCAATTTATATATTGGGAAATTGCTATATTAATAATTTTCTTATAATTATACATTCCATTAAAAAGTGTTTTCATATTTAAAAATTCTAAAAAGAAAGGAATGAATATCTCACCATTTTGTAATAACATTAACAGACTTGGCTAGTTTTTATCGTTCAATCAATTGGATAAATCGTAAAGATCTGATGTAACATTCAATTATGAAATTACGTCCGTGCTCTAAAATCTTATGGAATTTTAGTACAAATTATGCAAGTTTATAATCCTAAATTTAATATTAATACAAAATTTTGCAGTATTTAAGTCTTAACACATTTAATTGTTTGATGTGACTTGATTGGTCGCTCGATTTAGATCAGAGAAATGTTACGTACGTACGTAGTAGTGCTACGTCTGTCTTTGGAGACCGAGTTCTGATCGGTCCTTTCAGGGACAGTCAAAATCCGTTCTTAAATAACATTAAATATATTTATGTAGAACTTAGATTCTGAAATAAGTTAACAATACAGAATTAATCTGTTTGGATAGATTTATTCGAAGAATCCAATTCAGGATTTGATGTCCTAAAAGTGTTTGTGTGATTTTATACGATTTAAAGACAAACTCCAGGACAACTTTAAGACAAGGCCAGACCGGACTAGCATAATTTATAGGGATATTAAGAGTCATATATGATATCCATTATTTAAACATCTATTTAAGCATCTATTTAAGCATCTATTTAACATTGATTTAAACATCTATGTAAACAACTATTTAAACATCTAACTAATTATATAATCTGAATAAAAGATTATATACAACATCTTTATTTAAAATAATCAAGCTTTATCAATTATTATTTTTAAAAACAACCTTAACACATTTATCCAGTTTTTTTTCAAAAATTTCATAAGCTTTCTCACCATCACTTAATTTCATTTCGTGTGTAATAATTTTTTCAAAATTAAATTTCTTTGATAATACTAATGGAATGGTTTTTGCTAAAATTTGACGAGCTGGACAACGTCCGGATATATATTTTATGTTTTTGTTGTAACCGCTATTAAATAAAATATTGTTAAATTTTATGATACAGTATATATATATATATATTTAAAAACATATTAATAAGTGGTTACTTACTCCTTAGGACTAAATGGAAACATATTTGAATTATTCAATCCGACACTTGATAATACACCAGCACGTCTAAGTAATTTAAATGACAAATCAAGTGCTGATGAATTACCTACGACCTATATATGAATCCAAATAATTATACATTTAAACTTTCAGTCAGAAATATTTTCTAAACTAAATAAACAAATTAGGATTACCTCCAGAACAATATCAGCACCTCTCCCATTAGTAATCTCTTTAATCCTTTCGATCGGATCATCCTCAATTAAATGAATCGGCGTTGCACCAAAATCTTTTGCAAGTTCTAATCTTTCTTGAATACTATCAATTGAAAATATATTCTTAACACCCAAACAAATTGCAGATGCAATAGACATCAATCCAACTGGTCCACATCCGACAACTACCACCACAATATCATCATATTCATCTTTTTTTTGATAATCCAACTTGTATTGTTTTAGATAGGATAATTGAGGTGCTAATTCATTCAATCCATTTTCAGCACAAAAATAACCGGTACTTATTACATCACCAAGTAATAGTGCTGTATTATCAGAAATTTCATCTGGAATTTTGACAAGAGTTGAAGAAGCTAATGGAACACGAACGTATTCTGCCTGACCTCCATGAATTCCATAACCATTTTCAATCCATCCAAATAATTGACCTTTTTCACATCTACAAGTTATACCACGACAACAATAAAAGCACTAATAAAAATGCAAATTAAAATGAAATTAATAATAATAAAAAAAATTTTTTTATGATTATGATTCAAAAGGTATATAACATTTCGTATCCTAATAATTTTAATTAAACATAAGTGTATTCACCTCCCCACAGCAAGTAGTAAAAGGTGACAAAACTCTATCACCAACTTTAAAATCATTAACTTTACTTCCAACTTCGTTAACAATTCCCATAAATTCATGACCCATTATCGTATCTTTTTCATTTCCAACATCATTTCCTCTATATACTATATATATATTTTACAGGTTTATGAAAAAAAAATTTTTTTTTAAACTTTAATCAAAATTAAAAATTAACGTTTAAAAATTTTTCCTTTTTTTTTAAAAAAAAATCTTACCGTGTAAATCAGATCCACATAATCCACTAACACAAATTTTTACAATAACATCAGTATCTTGTATAATTTTTGGAATAGGGACGGTTTTTACTAATACTTTGAATGGTTGCTGGAAGGTTATTGCTTGCATTTTTCTTAACTACGTACTACGTGATAACTGGAATATATACGTAGCGATATATAGCGATAGATAATTGATATATATATATATATTCAAAAAAAAGTAATATGTACTGTAATAATGATAATCTGGTCATACAAAGTAAGTTTCTTTGTTCTCAAAAAAGGTTTTACGTACTAGACTATAATTGATCCGGCTTTATTGAATACGATCGTGACTTGGTACGTAAAATATTAGGTCATGCAAAATTAAATTAATTGATTTTCATAACGATAACCCAGCAGGGTCAAAATTCGAAAACTTATTTTTTGGTTTAATAAGAGGATGGGTTTTAAAAAAAAAATTTATAAGGTTTTTGTACATGAAATTTAAAAATAAAAAAATCGGCTGGCCGGGTTTGTTTGAAAATTTCATGTTATGAAAACCAAGAAATTAAATTTGTGTGATCTTATTAAATTTTGAAAAGATTTTTCTTCGTGAGTTATTAATTAAATTTATTTAAAATCAAACTCTTATCGTGCCGTATTATAAGTAAAAAGTAAGATTGCTTCCCTAAAAATTCAAGAATTTTAAGAACTTATCATCGGTTGCAACTAATATGTAACCGGTCTATAACCGATGATAAGTTGAACTTTAAAGAAGGTTCATTTGCTTTCATCTTATAAGACAGTATGATAAAAGTTTAATAATGAATAATTTTAATTAATAATTCGCGAAGAAATAATCGTTTCATTTGACTTTAACCGATAGTCATCGGTTATCACCGAACCCATCTCCAGCATTGAGTAACCAAAAACTACATATAAGACCGTATGGCAGTGTAAAGACCCTCCACACATATGGTTATTGGATACTTCACATGTAATAACCATATATCACAATATTTTGTAAATATATTATCTGAGAATATTTGTTATTTATTTAAATAAAGATTTGTAGCACCATGCGTGACAAATAATGTAGACCAATTCTTTAAAATACTATTTATACAATCATGTGACAAAATGCTTGTGATTTTTAATTTTTTACTATGTAAAAAATCAGGTCACTAAATTCATAACGGGAATAAAAAATTTTATTACGTACCGATTTTTGATTAAATAAATGTATTTGTCCCAGATATATAGGTCTAAGTTATATCGTTTTTTTAAAAAACAATTATTTTGACAAATCGTTTTCTTTAATAATTTCGGCAACTATGAAAATTGATTTTACCATTATTGGTTGTACGTACTAATTAAATTATTTAATGTGCTTTGTAGAGCTATTTTTTAAATTAAGCATGGTTTACGATAAAAATTTGATGGTTACAAAAAAAAAACTTTAAAATGCTCTATTACATTAAAAGAGAACGTTAAACCAATCCAAATAAGTATAATTTTATTAAGTTCACAAATTTTAGAATATGCTAAATTTATCTTTATTAATAAAATTTACTAGTAACATTAACTATTATATAGATCATATGATATCTCACACCCTAGAGGTTCCAAAAGGTTTTACATTTATTTCTTTAAAAGTTTATTTCTACTATAACATTCTGAAGCAACATAGTATATGATTTTTAAATTCATATTTATATTTAAATTTAACAGTAATTGCTAAAAAAATTTAATTGACCAAATCGCATTTCCATTTAATCACTTTTTATAGGAATAGTAACGTTTAAAGCCGAGTATTTATACTGTCGCTTCAATCCAAATCGATCACAGAGCGAACACTGTAAAACGAATTAATGATGATAAACAAGTGTTCATAATAAAAAATAAAATATTATAATAAAATAAAAATTTACCCTTCTCCACTATGCATTAATTCAAAAGCCTTATTGATTTCCTCAAGTTTAAATTTATTAGTAATATACAAATCAACTTCTAATTTCTTATTTAAATAATCTTCAACAATTCCAGGTAATTCGGTTCTCCCTTTAACACCACCAAAAGCTGATCCTTTCCAACAACGACCAGTTACAAGTTGAAGTGGTTGTGTAGATATTTCTTCACTAGATACACCGATAATAATAGATTGCCCCCATCCTTTATGACATGCCTAAAATAACAATACCCAATCATTAATTATTAGATTGTTATCTCAAATTATCATCTAGTGCAAAAACCTTCTATCATAAGGATTATAGCACTAGCTCAAGCAAGATGATTTACCTCAAATGCAGCACGCATAACTTTTGAATTACCAGTACAATCGAAAGTGTAATCAAGGCCTCCATCTGTCATTTCTATCAATACCTATTGATTTATAAAGAAATGATTATATATATCAAAAATTTTAAAATTATTTTAACAAATGTGCAAATAAAAGTGACATCAAATTATCTAACCTCTTGAATAGGTTTTTCAAAGTCTGTAGGATTGACAAAATGAGTGGCACCTAATTTCTTTGCTAAACAGAATGAATAAATTTATATATGTAAATAAAATATTATCCAAACATATTTCAAGAAATAAAAATCTTACCATATTCGAATTTCTTTGGGTTAGTATCAACGGCAAAAATTTTACTATAGAATCAAAAAACATATATTTGATTAGTTTTTTTTTTAAAAATTAATAATACTAATTTAATCATTACCTTGCGTTACGTGCAACGGCTCCTTGAATGACTGATAATCCAACACCACCACAACCAAATACCGCGACTGTAGAATTGGGTTGAATATCTGCTGTATTTATAGCAGCACCAAAACCTACATATTCGATGAAATGTCATTAAATACGTTACAATTGTCAATAATAATTAACAAATGAATCGATTGATCATAGATTATACTAAAAGAGCTCCAATAATAACAATAATAATAAATAATTAGTACCAGTGGTGATGGCACAACCAAGTAAACAAGCTTTATCCGATGGTGCATGGGGACTGATCTTGGCAACGGATATTTCCAACGATACTAGGACATAAAATTGAATAAGTCAAAATTTTTATATTCAAATTACGTAAAATAAACTATCAACTACATTGTAAATCTTTACCTGTGTATTGGCTAAAGGTAGAACAACCCATGTAATGATGGATACTTTTACCTTTGCATGTGAATCGCGTCGTTTGGTCCGGCATCACTCCATTTCCCTTAAAATATTCATATAATTATTAATTAATATATATATATATTTGATTCGTAATTATTAGAGGAACATAGGTACCTGAGTAGCTCTCACTAGCGAACAAAGATTGGTTTTTCCACTTTTACAAAATTTACATGTACGGCATTCGGGAATATACAATGGGATCACGTGATCTCCAGGTTGAACTGTTGTAACATCTTCTCCGATTGATTCAACGATGCCAGCTCCTTCATGTCCTAAAATTACAGGAAATACACCCTCAGGATCTTCATAAAATCAGAAAGTTAATATATGAATCGTGAATAATAAGATAATGTTAAACAAATATGTAGGACAAAAATAGATTCTTGTTACCTTTGCCTGATAGCGTAAAGGCATCTGTGTGACAACTAAGTAAACAATGAATGCATGTGTGCTTAAATAAATTTAATTCATGATGAATTAAATAAATTGTGGTTTGTTAAACTTACACTCCAGTTGCTAAAATTTTAATCCTAACTTCTCCTTTCTATATATACATAATTTATAAAAATTTTAAATAAACCTTTGTCAGACATCGATATTGCTAATAAATAACCAGAAAATTTACCTTAGGCGGTGCTACTTCAACTTCTTCGATACCTAAAGTATTTATTGATATTTTAATTTAATATTATAATCAAATATAACAATTAAAAGAGTATTATGAAATACTTTCATACTTAGAGGTTGAGCAGGTCCCCAAGCCACTGCTGCCTTACATTTGATTGTCTATCGGTTTTAAATTTTTCATATAACAAAAATAAGTTTATTTCATCAATTAATTAAAAATTTTATTTAGTAAAAAAAATTCTACTTGCTTTTCCAACGGTTGACATTTTGATATCGTAAAATTCAAGAGTAAAGAAAATACACGTTATATATAAATAGATATTTTTTGATCTATCCAAATCAAGATCGATAATCTTATTAAATGCAGACTGCCACTAATACCGATACGTAAAAATTTTAAAGAATTTATATAACGATAAGGGTAGTTGCGCATCACGTGATACCGTGCAGGACCAATACGATCACGTTGACAAATTTAATGCAATTAAAGTGAAAACTAATGCAACAGTATAGTAAACGTTATGAATCTCATTATATTAGTATAACTGGTAATACCGTATCCGACGAGCCAAACCATCTCCCCCTGTATAAAATAATCAACAACTTTTCTTCGCTTTACTTTAGATATTGGTACGTAGTAATTTGTTGTTATCAATACAATATTAGTATAAGTTGTACAAGATACGTAGAAGTTAAAATTTGCATGAAGTATAAATGTAAAATTCTATAGGGTGATGTTTAGCCCGTCGGATACAGTATCTTCTTTAGTTTCATTGTGCTACATACTTGAATTGATTCGTTAACTAAAATTAGTGCTAATAAGAAATTAATAAGGATTAAATAGATTATTTCAAATACTTTGATTAATAAATGTTTGTTGCACTTAACAACTAAATCAGATAAAAAAAGCTTTATACTATTTCATAAACTTAAACCAAATTTTTAATTTGTTCATTAACCTGATTTTGCCTTGTAAATTTCTTATCTTTCAATCCAAATAGTAATATAATTTGAAGGGTTAGGTGATTTACAGGACGAAGCCAAAAGGTTTTTGGTTAAGTAGAAATTTTTTTAATTTGTCCCAATTAATAAATTATTATTGTGATCACAGACTAACGGTAAGGGGTTCTTAAGTATCTCACTCAATGAATCATAGGCAAGTTTTTTGTAATTGAATAAACTGATAAATTTGTCAATTTATTTGATTAATGATTAATTAAAATTTTGTTTTCAATTAATAGTGCAAGATGATTGAGAACCTTAAGTCATTACAAATAAGAAATCAAATAAAAAGCGATTGGTATATTTTAAATTATATTCTTAAACTGGATCAATGTGAGTCTTCAATTTCCGGTTTAATTAAGGTTTCTTTTTTATTACTATAAGAGATTTCATTATACAATCAACTCGCTCTATAACTAATAAAAATTTCAGAAGTTCGCTAGAGAAATGAATATAATAATAAATTATGAAATAATTTTGTTCAACCAAAATTTTATCATCGATAGCTTTTCCAATCTCATAAGTTTGCCACCTTTTAAAATTCGCATTGATAAAACCTAACAATCAAATAAATTGTCAAAAATAATAATTAGCAATCCGTGTAGGCATAATTTTAGGAAAGTATCCCACTTTATTATAAGCGGAAATTTTTCTATGAAATATGATACGGTGCAAATCATCTAATCGCATCAAATATATTAAATGTTTCGCCACTAAGTAAAGTACAATATTACAAATTAATATATGGTTGACTGCAAATTTTTTTATATTATACACGTAGAAATAGAATATCAATATTTAAAACCTAGAATAAAAACTATAGCTTCAAACATCTAGAAGGTCAAGGGAAATAGACTTCACTTAGTTATCTCTTAGCATTATTTATATTACTTAGGTAGCCTTATTAAAGATATAATTGGGGTTGAGTCAATAGAAATCATGCAAATTTTTTTTAAGTAAATTTTTTTGAAACTTTAAACAATGATAACTTAATTAAACTTTATCAAATTTTATAAAACTTTTTTGAAATAAATGTTACAAATTTGTAGAATTCATTTTAAAAAAATTTTATTAAATTTGATTAAATTTTATTGAATTATTGTTGTTTAAAGTTTCAAAAAAATTTCAATAAAAACAATTTGTTTAATTTCTATTGACTCACCTCTAATTAGTAAATTGTACATTAATTAGTGTTTCTAGATTCAGTTTAGTTCAATTTAGAGTTAAGTTTAGATTTAGTTAAATCTGAACTTCAAATTTAGCAGATTATTAAACCTAAACTAAACCTTAAATTTATAAATCTAAACTGAATCTAAACTTAACTTTTTGGTTTAATTTAAATTTAGTTCAAGTTTAAAAACATATTTTTTTTTATATCAAATTGTAAATACTTTATTTAATTAATATCAGATTAATATATAATAGTTTTTATATTACATTTGTATTACTATATTATTATATAGACACTTAATATAATATAGACTAATGCATGTCTGAAATACATAATATAACAAATGCATAAGCATGCATATTTTTGTTATACTAAATTACAAATTTAAACACATGTGCAGATGGATAAAAAATTTCCAAATTACATTTCTGATATAATCTTTATAATGTTTATGCAGATGCATCAAAAAAGAATTTTATATAATCAAAATGCATCAAAAATGTAATTTTTGTATCACTTGATGTAATCACTTAGGGTCCTCTACTATGTTCTAGTCAATTATATTTATATATATTTTTTTTTTTTTGGTATTAAGATAAGGCCTTGCTTATATCTTTATTAATAATTTAAAATAGTTACATATATATATGCTATGGC